CCAAAATCGATCAAAACCATGGGCTATAGTCCATGCTTTTTGCCAAAAAATGACCAAAAATGACCTACTTTTCATCCCTCATAAATAATGCTTATTTTTATAAAAGGTGTAAAAATGGTCCAAAATCGATCAAAACCATGGGCTATAGTCCATGCTTTTTGCCAAAAAATGACCAAAAATGACCTACTTTTCATCCCTCATAAATAATGCATATTTTTACAAAAGGTGTGAAAATGGTCCAAAATCGATCAAAACCATGGGCTATAGTCCATGCTTTTTGTCCAAGAATAACCTATTTTGCATCCCTCATAAATAATGCATATCTTCCCAAAAGGTGAGAAAATGGCCCAAAATCGATTATTTTGTTTTATTTGATTGCCTGGAAATCCATTTTTTGTTAAATTGACAGTTTTGGAAGAAAAAAGAAAAAAAAAAGTAGTTGACTAACTTTGTTCTTACATTTACGGGATTTTTTTTTCAATGGGCCATAAAGAAAGGTATGTAACATTTGTTTAAAAAGAAACCTTTTAAATACCTTGTTGGTCGTAGCATTGGTAATAGATGCCGTCATGGTCAAGCAACTGTCATATTCATCGTACCCAGTCTCACAGGTCCTCGCGGTTGCGTTCTTCCTGCACATAGCACCAAACACTTCCGGTCTACACTCATAGCACTTTATCGGGGTTGACTCTGACGGAGTCGTCTTCTTTGCAGGTGCAGTCCTTCGAGTCTTTGTAGTTTTTAACCGACTGCTGACTTCTACAGGACGAGTTGGATTAAAGTTGTTACAGAAGTTACTTCTACAGCAATACCCATTGCAAGTTGCCATTTGTTTTCCTTCGTTCACGAAGAGCTTATTTTCGACGTCTATACAGTGTTGTTTGATGTTACAGTTAATTTCAGCCAATCCGCAGCCTCGATACGCCACTTCAATGCTTTTGTTGTCCGCAAGAGTACCTGTGATGGTCACACAAGAGTCGTATTCCATCCCACATCGTGCAACTGACGGTAGAAGGTGACAACTATCGAGATCACTTCCCTCTTGGCAGTAGAAACAGTTGATACCCGTCGCCGGCGTAAAGTCGTACTCCTCAACTTCGTCATCGGTTGTCATAGGATCGCCGATTGTTCGGTAGACTCTCCTCGTGCTTCGGGCGACTCTCGGGATAGGAATAGTCTGCATTCCTTCCGTAGGAGTTGTTGAGAAGGGTATTGCGTTACACATGTCACTGTCACAGCACTTTGCGTTACATTTTGTCGTATCGAAATTTCTAATAGTTTTCAAGGCTATATTACAGAGTCGTGTTGCGTTACAAACGCCATTGTCACACATTCCTTGAGTCAGTGTTAGTTTTTGCCTTGTTATTCGGTTAAATCCTGCTAGACCAATGAGAACACAGCTTTGGTATTCACTAGCCTCAGGCTTACACGTCCTTGCCTTGCCCTTGGTTGGGTCTTCATCCTCAGTCCACTGGTAGCACTTCAAGGCTAATACTTTTAACGAAAATACAATAAAAGTAGGTCTATAAGACAGACAGACAGACTGACAGACACTGAGATAGATACTGAGACAGATACTGAGACAGACGCTGAGACAGACACTGAGATAGACACTGAGACAGACACTGAGACAGACACTGAGATAGACACTGAGATAGACACTGAGACAGACACTGAGACAGACACTGANCAGACACTGAGACAGACACTGAGACAGACACTGAGACAGACACTGAGACAGACACTGAGACAGACACTGAGACAGACATGAAAACAGACATTAGCCCTTTGCTATATTACGTATTTAAGTTTAACGATCAGTAAAAATGGCCGTTCTGTTCACACGGCGCAACAATATTCATGTGTAAATCAGCTATTTATTCATTGTAATTATTATTTTATGATAAAAAGTTAGATATTTTTCCCATTCTATTCCCTTTCATCCTATTTTCAATATGATTTCTTTCCTAATTATATTTTTTACATAACGCAGCCATCTTGGCGGTTCAAAATGGCGGACATACTTGGCCGAAAGGAAATGTGACAAGTCTCACTTGGAAGAATTCAAAGCTTACGTAAGGAAACCAGAAGTCATTAATTATTAACAATAATTGATAAAGATAAGTACATTTAATCATATTTTATTCCTAGGAAAAGATAAATAATACGATCAACTGACCGCAAGCATAACTCATTCAAATTTTTGAGACGTACCTTCTCGTGGGCTTAGGAATTTAAACTTAAAAATAAAAAATTAAATTAAAAAAAACTCGGATTTAAAAAAAAATTATAAAAAAATATTAATCGCTCAAGCTAAGATTAAGATTAAAATCATATTACGTTCGGCCCTAAAGATTTACTGATTGAAAAAAGGAAAGATAGCAATTATTCCACTAGGACATTCAGGTTTCCTGATAATTTCCTCGTCTAAATTCCACTTCGTTCCATCTCTATTACTCTTTAATTTAAAGAATAATCCTACAAACTTAAATAAAATATTGTCTTTCAACACCCTTATAAATAAGTGCCTTTATATTGTAGTAAAATATATGAAAAACTGGGGAAAAATTGATTATACGTTGGTAGTTTTTTTTTTTTTCCTGTTTTAAAAACGAGGACTTTAAAATCACACATACCAGAATCAGATAAAAAAATATTCTTTAAAAACATTTTTTCTTTCTTGTCACGAAAAAAAAACTGTAGATGATATATTCCTTGTCATTTATGTAAGATTTTACATAAAAAATATTGATACAAATTTTTAAACGATTTGCGAAATGTTTTATATTTTGAGATGGAATCTAAACACTGGGGATAATGATTTTTCAGTTGCAAAAACATGGTATATTTTTACCAGATTCTCTCATTTAAAAAAATGTCACAAATGAAAACCAGCATTCAAAGGTCTAAATTTGTATACTTTAAAGAAAGATGAATAAAATAAAGCTTTAGTCTTCAGTTGTCAACCACGCCAAAGCTTTCGTAGCGAAAGATTTTTGCATTCAATTCTGTTTAAGTTTCTTTTTAATTCTTCGTCTTTCTAGGCCAAAAAGACACAGAAAAATAAATTTGTACAACTAAAAAGAAACATCCTTTTTGGTAGCCATGTTTGCCTTTTTTATTGTTATAAAAGTGTAAGAATATAAAGTGACTTTTAAGTTGTTATTTTAAGTGAGAAATATCTGTATCTAAAAGCAAAATAATTATATAATTATTTTATCAAGTTTTACTTCTTACCTGAATTGAAAACTCCAAGAGTGAATAACGTAGCAAAGATGAGAGAAATCCTCATGCTTTTCATCGCTTACCGAAGTAAAAAGCGTAATAAAGACAAACGAAGATTTTGTAGTATGTGGAAGATTAATTTGACTTTCATTCATTAAGTACTAATAAAAGTTTTATGAGAAAAAAACGAACTAAACCGCAATAAATTATTATCTCTGTTGTTCTTTCACAAGCCGCTTTTTGGCGACCAGCGAGTAGATTCATCATCATGTTTAATTTTTAACTATCTAAAGAGCTGAAACCACTTGGCAATAAAGAGCTAAAAATTAAGTTTAAACCTATTATTAATATAACTTCATGAAAATTTGCGATTCGACGATAAACAAGGAAAAAATTCGATAAAAAATTCGCCTAAACTTTTACGCATTTAATGCTAATATAAATGAACTTTACCTGCAATTGCATTGTAATCTTACAGGTAGCAGAAATAACAACAACAATGACAAATAATGCTCAAAACACGACAGCTAAATTGACTAAATTAAAAWTTTTTGACAAATCATTAAATATATGACATTTCCTAACGATATCGAAGTGTCTGGAGGATTATATTCGAGACAAATTACGTGAAGTATTGTAGAAAATTAAGTTTGGAATGAAGTCATGATTTTCTTTATACAAAGCGATAAAAAGCTTATTTTGTGGGCAATTGAGGCTTTATTTTCAAGAGAAAGAAAGACAAAATTTAAACTTTTCAATTACTATTTGTTTCTCAAATTGTCACAATAAAACCGGCTGAATTACATTTTTCCAGTAAGATAGACGTATTTGTTTTGATCTTAATAAAAGTTAAAAAGCAAGTCAAGTTGTTCGGAAAAGCCAAAAGAATTACATACAAAGACAGTCGTTTTTTAAAAGAATAGGCCCTTTGCAGTTGAATCACGTGCTGATTAATTCACTGAGAGCAAAGGAATGAACATCTTGATTCCCATGGGTGAAATATACTGGTGAGCAAACAAACTTTCTACAACCTGTTTCGAGAGATCGTAATGAAACTGCATTTCGTAACACACTGGTTACACATCGTTTCATTCAGTTCTTTACAAGTAGCTAAAAAGAATCACCAATTTAGAATAATATAAAAAAATTTTGCAGTCCAGTACAGACACGTGACCGTTGCCAAGGGCCTATTGGACTCAAAAGAATGGAAAAGCGAAGCTAGATATATAGAAATGTCCCCCCACCCTTCCCCCCTTTATTTTTAGTTTGGGATCCATGTTTGGGATGTATTTTTGTACATCAAATACACATCAAATTTTATTGTCCAAAATTCCCCATTACGTAGAAAATAGCATTTCAAGCGCACAGGGCAGCGTGCTTGAAACCGTTTTTCCTTCAAACTTTTTCCTTGTGTTTTTCTGAATTCATTTTATTGTAAAAAATAAAAAWAAAAAATAAAAAATAAAAAAATCGTTCATAGATTTCCATTGTCTTTCCTTTTATTCACATAGATGACGTCTTAAAATGTCCAAAACGTTACAGTGAAACCACTTGCTGCGCTCATGGTTCCACTTGAGTTTTGAGAAGACATCTGTGATCAATAAGAGGACAGAAAATGGAGAGCGATATGTTAACTTGATGCTTTTATAACTTCTTGTGTTTCAGATAATAGTTGATAATTTTCCAAGTAGGTTTTCCGTTGTTGAGCAAGAATTGGAAAGATAAATGAAACGTGGCCGACTGAAACAATAGCTCTTCCAAAATGACTTCAATTTAACGTAAACATCGTATCAGGGATAAATGAAATGCTTCCGCTTCCGCTGTCTTATCTCTAGGCGCCATGTTGAAGTACGTCTGAAAATAACTGAGGGGAAAGTGCTGCCTTTGTAATTACATCTGCAAATGGTTAGACTTTCAAGTGGCTCGGATGACCACTTTAAATGGCGGTCCCGTCTCTCCACACTCATCATTACTAACCAACAAAGGAGGGACGTAAAAGAACCACTGAGGACGTAAAGAAACCTTGGCAGTGACCACCCTCAGTGCCTACACTTCATACTAACCATCTCTCATGCTTGTAAATTGCATAAAACCGATCTGTCATTTACACACAACTCAATGTAAAGCGCCTTTGAGTATATCCATATAGAAAGGGCGCTATATAAATCATAAATCGTTATCATTATATTCTTACAGAACAAGCAATTATGTTATTATCATATAAAAAATCATGACTTTATTTAAAGAAATAGCGTCAAAAAAACTCGAACTGGATGGGAAAGCATTGCACCATAGCTGAAAAGCATTCCTAGTAAAGAAAGAAATGATACTCAAGGGAATGACACACGGTCTGAAATGGGAAAACATTACACCATAGCTGAAAAGTGTTCCTAGTAAAGAAAGAAACAATACTCAAGGGAATGACCCATGGTCTGAAATGGGAAAACATTGCGCCATAGCTGAAAAGCATTCCTAGTAAAAAACAGACCGTAGCGGGAGAAAAAATCTCCCAACTTGCTATCGTCTCTTGATCTTGGATTTTTTTAAGAAAATAACTTGTTTATGAACGTTATCGATTTATGTCTGGTAGCTTGTTATTATAAACTACTAAGACTTCTAGTCTTATCAGTTGTTTTAAAAACACATTTGCAAACTGTCTTAGATTATTTAAGATTTGAAAGGTCAATCCTGTTTAAAACACAATAGAAATCAGGCTGTAAATTGGATACAGAATCGTCCTCATATCATTTGGATTAAATTTTAAGATAGCCAAACTCCGCATTCCAACCTCAAAAATTTACTACGACATGAAATTATGCTCCTAGACAGTACTGAGACAAACAATTACTACGCATACTGTGGTACCGTGTTTACATCAGAGGTAGGACAGCTAGAGATTCGTTCGCGCAAAATGGCCAAAAGATTTTTTTACCAGTAATAAATTAAGGCTGCTTATGTCCCTGTGTTGTGATATTAAAACTCTGAGATCCGTAGAGCACTCGAAAAGCTCGGCTAGGCTTCGTGTAGGAGCTTGCTTCTCTCGTGCTTTAAGCCTCCCAGCGTATTATACGTATTATTCATGAAATAAAGAAATAAAGATTTAAGTAATATCTAAGTAACTAGTCGTTCTAGAGATTTCGCACTAATTTGAGACATTTTTCACTTGCACACACACTACCGCTACATTCAATGTCCTATGCACACAATACTAGACTCACATGATGATTTTTACGGAGGGAGGAAACCGGAGAACCCGGAAAAGTCCTCGATTAGCATGGGAGAGAAAAACAAATCAGACAAACTCAATTCATATATGGTTTCCGTGGGGATCGAACCAGTGACCCGAACCTTTATAACCACAGTGGTGAAAGACGACGCGTTAGCAGCGCACGCCGGCCACCCACGACACAATACGAAATGCGAAAACTTGGACTGTAGTTTGCACCATCGTGCCGCGTCAATAATACAGTTTGGACTGCCTGTGGTTAAATGACAGAACAATAAAACTAGTCTCTTTGCTCTTGGGAATTGAATTGAATTCTTTCTCATGTAAAACGATAGCATTGTTCCTGCCATCTAACATGGCTGCCGTCACGTGATGGCGCAAAACATCTATATGCCATAAACGTTTTACTCCAAACGGATTCCACCGTCTACATTAAAAACTAGCTATCACTGTCTTAAGAAACTTTGCAGTTTGTTTACACTGTGCCTTTGGTTCTTAGAGAGTCAGGGTAAACTGTTCCATTTAGGTATAACAGTGTCCCGTGGGGGGAAACAGTGTACAATGCCCCGAGGGTCGTTTTTGCTTTACGTTAAACTTTGCTTCCTGAGAGCACTTATCAGCGGGGGGTAAAACAAGTCACGACAAAACAAAAGTACATGGATTACTCGACTCTCAAGTTGGTGCTCAGTAGGTTATCTGTGACTCTGGCAAACTGTCTTTCACTCTTGAATGAAATAACCTTTAAACAAAACAAAAAAAATGTGCTGTATAAAAAACAAAGAAAAACTTTTTGTGCTGTATTGTGCTGTATCGTTTACATGCCGCAGAGAAACGAGGAGTTAGAGTTCTTTTGCCTGTGAACGTCTAGATTTCTTGCACTAAAATGAAGGGAGAATTTGAAAACATGACAAGTAATGCAACGATAGTAAATATGACAACTCTCAACTCGACAACCCCACAAGGCGACCAAAATTGCTCTATTTATACCGATGCTGCAGAAGTCTTTAAAATTATTGGCTACGTTGTTATTATAACGCTGTCATTGGCTGGCAATACCACTATTGTCGCTCTTTTCGCGAGAGGGAGACAGCAGAAAACACTAGATCCTTTTATCATCAGCATCGCTGTGTCTGATCTTCTCATCCCTTTTTTTGCCGGGGTCCGTGAGCTGAATGGCTTGGTCCTGCAATCATATGCATGGCAAGTTCAAGGGACCACTGGTGATGTCTTATGCAAGATTTGTTCCTTCATGACAGAGATTTCACCAATGATTTCCATTCTGAGTTTGTGCTGCATCACTGTGTATCAGTATATATTGGTAACCTTTTCTATTACGAAGCATAACGCGATGAAACACACCCAACACGGGGAAAGGATCGTCACTTGTGTTGTTATTGGATTTATCTGGCTCGTAGTGATCGCCTTCAACGCTCACATCTTCCACACGTATAAACTTTATCGGATTAGAGATAAGTATTACTGCGATGGTCCCTTCTTTGAGAAGCAAGAAACCCACCGTTCCTATCTTATAGCTACGTTTAGTATCTTCTTTGCTTTTCCTTGTGTCTTGATAACTATTCTTAACACCTTCGTGGCGTACAAGGTTYGTAAACAACTGAAGACCTCTGCCTCATCGTTTCCACAATGGCGTCGCAGCCTTAGCCAGAAGCAAAAGCGAAACCAAATAATGGTAGTCCTTATGATTTTTGTCTTTGCAGTTTGCTGGGGTCCGCTTGGTGTCACCGTTTGGTTGTACACTTTTCATGTGTTTAGATTTCCTACTGATACCTGTTCATATGCTGCGTTTCATTTTGTATCCTTATTTATGGCGTACAGCAACGCAGCGATAAATCCTTGGATCTACTTGTTTTTCTTCGTCTTTTCTGAACGCAGACGCCCAGCCAGGCAATCGCGGTTGTCGAACCCCTTCGCCTCATCCATGGTACGAAAGAGAAGAGTTGCGCCTTCTAACACTATTGAAACTAAAACCTAACTCGTATTGCAAACATGTTATATGAAAGAAAGAAGTTGGGCCCGCTAAAATAGCCTAGGTATTCCAGACATTGTCCATGAAAACATCGACTTCGATCATTGAGAGTATATTTTTTGTAGTCCTTGGTAGCCTAGGTATTTCAGACATCGTCCATACAGGAACAAAGTTGTGTTCCATGAAAACATTGACCTTGATCATTGAGTGTATATTTTTTGTAGTCCTTGGTAGCCTAGGTAATCAAGACATCGCCCATACAGGAACAAAGCTGTGTTCCATGAAAACATTGACCTTGAT